AACGAGTTACTCTAGTTGGTGATGTAATCAATATACTTCATGGTGGCCAAATCTGTTGTTGGACCTAATAAATTTATATTTAAATCTCCTAATATGATGAATAGTTTCTTTTCTATATTTAATTTTTCTAAAGTGATTGATAATTTTTCGGTAAATTTGGGGATATCTTTTCTGGGATGTTTATAAATTACTCCAATCGTAAATGTGACATTTGAATTGATTTTAAGATCTATCCACAATTCCTCACAGTCTGGGTGGTTTAAATTATATTCACAAGTCTCAGTGACGGCAAAACCTTGCTTTACGTAGAGTCCCACTCCCCCGGCACTTGTTTTGGACGGTTTATGAATGAATTCATAATTAGGTAGACTGATGTTTAAAATTGGGGTTACACCAAGTCTCGTTTCTGAGATTGCAATGAGATGAGGGGGGGTAATAAATTCAGATAGTAAATTCACTAGAGAATCATGGTTTTTTTGGAGAGACCGAATATTCATATGAAATGCAATAATACAGTTTTTTTGAAAAGACATACTAGTTGTTCTTAAATTTGACACTTCTATATTTTCGCACACACACTTAGTTATTTCATACAAGATTTTTGAGTTATGTGCAAGTGCACAATGCGTCTGATCGGGCAACTGATGGGGTATTGCTAGATTAGAGCATGATCCTATTGGTTGGCATGATGCCAGTAAATTTTCACATGTATAATACGCTAGTTCAGTATAAATTAACTAGTTGAAAATATATAGAATCACACTCACATTAATTATTGGATTTTAGAGAGGTCTTCATCACATCGAATATTTAAAGAGTTTTTGATGTCAGCGTTCTTTTTTACGTATACTCTTCCATTCGATGTCCAGATAAATTTATAACCACAATTATTTTTTGCAGTTCTTGCTCTGAAGTATAAGTCTTTATTAAGAGCTGTTAAATTCTCTGCGATGAAAATTTTTGATGGTTGACAAAAATGTGAACTTGATCTTACTGAGCGGAGAACTTTTCGTTTTTCGAAGATTTTAATTTTGTTCTTGCGATGAATAAATTTAGCAATTATAGCTGGAGTTCTTGTTCCTTCCCCTCCTGTTGGCATTCTATGGGACACTGAAATATCGCTGGCTTGGATGTTGACACCAACCAACTTTGCGATGTTGCAAACAATTTCATCAGTGTCCTCATTTTGTTCAACAGGTATACCATGAAACTCAAGGTTCTCCAGGCGTCCTCTCCTCTCTTGATCCTCTAGTTTTTCTGACACATAATATAAATCATCCTCTAGGTCATAAATTCTGTTTAGAAGACTTTCAATTGTTCTTTTGTTTTCAGTTGTTTGTTTTTCCAAGATCTTATTCTTTTCAGCCAAATCATCGTACATTTTGGTGTGAAATGTTTGGCTTTCTTTTATATCGGATAGTTCAGCTCTGATGTCCCTCATGGATAGGCTCAGATCATTAAGTATCTCCTGGATGTTGGGTGTAATAGGAGTGAGAATGTCTGAGTTGTCTGAGTGTTCAAGATTTTCCTCAAGACATTGGCCTATCATTGCTGGGAGTTGAAGTGTTATAGCATTTATGATATTTCTTGTGATGACAGGTAATATCCCACTCACAATTTCGTTGTATTGTGGGGAATCAGTCCTGGAACCTGGTACATATTCTTCAACCCGTTCTTCACTCTGATGTTGCTTAGTTTTTGGTGATTTTACAGATGTATTCTTGGTTTTGCTAGATGTTTTTTCTCTTGATGGAGGTTTTGGTGCATCCATTGTTCAGTTCTTGAGTTATAAGTTAACTTATAATATTTTTATTTTACAAGATCTTAATCAAATAGCGAATTCTCACTCAGGCAGATTTTCAAGCGTGGTGGTAAACATTACCTCGTTTTCGCGTTTTTGAACTTTATTCGTTAATTTTCTGTTGTGTTTCGGAAACTTAAATAAAAATCAGATAATTCAATGATCACTCTGTCTTTCTAAGAATTTTAATATTAATTGCAGTAATAATAAAATCAGTGTAAAAATAGCTGTGATAAACTAGGCTGAAATTCCTTACCGATACTTTTAAAAAACCGATTGTTGTATGTGCTGAATCATAATGATGGTTTGAAACACATACCCTATTTTACAGGCGCCAACTCGCAAAAGCACTTAAGCAGTATGATAGGAAGAATTTTTGGGGGGTCAAAGGTCCATGATAGGTAAAAGTATCGACTTTTATAAGAATGATTTTGTGTTGCATAAAATATTCAAATCCATGACCGATACCAGCTTTTAATCCCGTATATTAATTTAATTTTGTTCAAAGTAACTCATGGTTGCGCCGGCTGAAGAAAAAAATAAAAGCTTACCTAAAATACCATTTCAATTTAGGGAAATAAAATGTATGCTAAGCTACCAGATTGTGTTTAATTTTTTATTCGTATTCTCATACTTACAGAAAAATAAAAACCTTACTATTCTCAAATACCACAATCATATAATAAATGACATGAATGGCCGCCGACGCATCCGATAGTTACGTTCGAGCGCCTGAATTTATGAAATCGGCTGGGATCCTCATTATAAAGATTTGGTATCCTATTAAAAGTCGAAATAGTTTCAATTCTAACACAAAATATATAGAAAAATTTGACTACTTCGGCAACGAGTTCGCGGCCCACCAGGAGTCGTTGGCGGGCCGCGGACCACCGGTTGAGATGGTGCTGCCCTAGATGGGGTATAACCGTAAATGAATACTAATACGGTCTAACACAATACGAAAAAAATAACCAAAAAAATAGAAAGCTTAAATTAAATATATATATACGTAAACGAAATATACACATAAATATATTTATATAGAAATGTCCAAATATCCGGAGACGGTCTGGTAAATCCTGAGACGCTCGTTTATGTAAAATATATACTGGGCGGTGTATATATGGATTGTTATAAAAATTCCCGCTGATATTGTTGTTCTACTTGTTATGGTTGTAGTTGTGATGGGCATTGTTTGACCTAAACTTTTGATTTTTGTGAAGAAGATAAAGAAAGCGCGACAACAAGAGCGATTGTTTCAATCAAATAGAGACTTGCTGCAGACTACAATTAACACGAGGTGTACAGGTGGAATGTTTTGTTAAATTGTTGGACTTGATTTATTTAGTACTCAATAATGGAGAAAGTTGCGGAAAGCCTTTTTTTCGGAAGCCTGCTTGTCGTGATATTACATCCTAAATTTTGGGGTTCAATTTTAATTTATCGGAATATTGTTTTGACATTTGTGTTCATATATTTCAGTATTGGTCCTTGGTTTCAGATGCGACAATTTCCCTGCCAAAGTTACCGAACGACCTCCTCCGCATGATATTGATGCTGTAGCCTACCAGCGTACTGGAAGAACAGATGTGCACAAAATTTATTACTATCCGTTTCCGATTTGCATTTCACACATCGCACATCGGGGTAAAATTGACTAGGGACACCTTCGACGTTTCTACATTGGTTGCTTAACGGGTTACCATTGATTATAATTCGAACGTTAGTTTAAGGTAGTACGCCAGTTGGGTAAGAACGCCAATGAATTCACACTCACAGCTAGATTGACTTATAGTAAAGCGCGAATCTAAAGTATTCCTTTTCAATGTGTGACATTCTTTCAGTTTTAAACCAGAGATGGGTGTTTAGTTTTCCGAGTGGGCCAGTAACAGATAATTTAACAGATAACTGGCACGAAGGCTCAAGATGAAAAACTCTGAATAAAAAAACACGTTTTCTACAAGATCTAGTCCAACAGCTTGGCTAACGTTTTATAATATCACCGTAAAGAGCACAATTTTGACAATTGTGCTCATTACGACGATATTATTGAAAATTTAGTCATAATGCCAGCAGACACGAGTGGGCCGAATGAAACACTTCGATGGGCCGGATCCGGCCCGCAGGCCGTAATTTGCCCACCCCTGTTTTAAACAATTCTGAATTTTGCATCTTGAACTTGTGTTTAGTTGGATGTTACATTCGCGAAAAGGCAAGACAGAAACTCGTTACAAGTCATTCACGTTACTAAAAACGGAGGTATCGTTAAGGACGTTCATTACTGGAAAATATGGCAAATTTCATTAAAAGACTCATCAAGAAAAATCTTGTATTCCATGAAATCCATTCAAAAATAAATAAATTATGAACAGGTTCATGACCAAACCATTATAAATAATGTGAAAGAAGCACAATGAAATACAAAAGTAGAGTATGCAATGTAAATATTTACGAGTAAGCAGTTTTTCAAAATAAGAAACGAGAAATTTATTTTGGGAAATTACGTTTAAAAATTTTGTCTGAAAAGAAATAGACCTACCAAATAGTATTAAACGTCAGTTATCTACTTTTGAATAAATCCAATAGAGGAATCTTTTTTACATACTTCCAAGATTTTTAGTACGCCAATGGTGCAAAAGAATATGGTGAAATCATCATTATACCCCTACATATCTTACATACGTGAAAGCTTCAAAAGCCCAGTCCTCACGGGCTAATCACAAACCCACCACATCATCCAGAGTATAAAAATTTAGATATACAGCGTTAAATTAGGACAATAACAATCTCTGATTGGGTGATTGTACAAGGAATTATTCCGAGCGATTCAATGGAAAATATACAATATAAATCTTACAAAATGACAATTCCCACCAATAAATGCATAAATACAATGGAAAACACCACATAAAAACATATCAAAGTCCTCTCTTTGAAAGACGTTAGCGTAACGATAGATTTCGTCATGTGGTTTGTTCAAATCGGCTACGCATAAACAAATAATTTAATTTATAGAAAATATTATAAATCAAAAAATTTATTCAGTAAATCATAATTGCATCTTCAAATTAACGTCCTCCAAGTAACATTTTTTGATAAAAAGATAAATTATAAACACAAAAAAGCGTTGGGTATTCATAACCTCATGATTCCTTTCTAAATCCGTTTACCAGTATTTGTAGTACCGGATAATTTTTTTAAATAGTTATTGATAAATGTTTCTATATGTCTTTTTTCTGATCTTCGTCATCTGCGGACAATTCTTCGGTATCACTGCGATCGTCTTTTAGGGCCTGAAATAAGAGAAATTTTTTGTCGTTAGAAAGGATTTTTTACGAAATGAACATTCCATTTGCTATTATACTTCTATCGGTTGAAGCAATGGTACTATGGATATCAGAAACCAATCGGGCTATATCGTCCCAAACCAACGTCAAATTGAATTGCATTACATTAAAAAAATTTGTGACAGGGTTAGACGAAGTCGGTATTTTTACCAAACATTGATATTTATGCAATGATAAACATTCCTAGATTTCACGTCGTAACACACTACTATATTGAGTAACACACAAAATTTTAAATAATTTATATTTGAAGAACACATACCTCGCCTGATACAGGAAACAGCATTTTCCAAGCCATTCTCAATATAATAGATGCCCAGTATAAATGTAGACACTGTAAAACGCCTAATAGTGCGTTGAAGAAATAGCAAGATGCAAACGGACCAATGATGGCAAAGCTTTTTATTGCACTTGTGTGAATAATCCTGCAAAAATGTTCAAAAAAGTTCAAACAAAAGTCCAAATATGAAGACAGAATATGCCTAAAACTTGCTTCAAAAAAGTTCAATCATTGAGAGAAAGAGAGATTTATCGTTCCGTCAACCAGAAAACAAGCAATGGTACAATAAAATATATACAAAATATGCAATATATATTGTATTCAATGTATTTTGATTTCTCGTTATTAAGTAGTATAAGGAATTTAAAGATTCGCAAACAAAATTGTGCAAAGGCATGGAATGATTTTCTGAAGCAGCGGAATGTTTGCAATTCAGCAATAGATTACATTCCGGATATATATTGTAAACTCATAATGGCGAAAAAAAATTTATATTAACTATTCAGTTGAACGAGAAACAAAAATCTTCTGGAGGGCTATAATTTCCTGGCTGTTTTCTGTGACGTTTTAATGTAGCACATCGTAACATTCAACTTAACTTGCAAATTAAACGAATACACCAAATATTTGTTACTGTTTTTTTTTATCAAATCGATCAACTCACCAAAACGGAAAAATAATGATTCTTGTAACGATGAACGTAATTGCAAATATAATAAAAAGAATCTCCGATGTTTTTGCGTATTTGAGGTATGAAACACATTTTGCTCCTTCCAGAAAAATATCTGATATATCATGAATAGCCATCACTAGCGTACCGACTCGAACAAAGTTTGCAAAATAAGAGAAAATAATGAGGAATAGCGTTGCAATATGATGAATCAGCTGTTCGAAGAAGTCCTGTCAAAGCACAAATAAATACATATTATTACAAAAATAGGCATTCCCACCAAGTTTAGCATCTATGGTAAACACTGTTCTACGACTATTGTGTGTTTGTAACCCGATATTAAAACCAAAATTTTGGATATATATATATATAATACTGAACGATACTAATCAGAAGAAGTATATTACTTCGTCGTATATTAAATCAGAGGCCGTCATGAATACACTTTTAAAATCATATGTTTCTTATCATATTTTACATACCGTAAGAGGCGAATGCAAGTTGCTTGCTGGATTTGAATGTGAAATTTTACCACGGGTGTTTGTGGAAAGCTTTGAATAACAATGCAAAATAATCCTGATAACAATGTGATTTCCAAAGATTTCTAATCAAAATTAAACCTACTTGAAAGTGATTATAGACAAATGATATATTATACGTAAATTGGTATGTAAATGTATAATGAATGTGTAGTCAGAATCGAGCTTTCAAATTTAGGAGCAGTTCGTGATGAACGAACGGCGCGATGGAAGTACCATTATGTGATGTCGTTTCCAGCTCCCGTTGCCAGAAAATCTATATAAGTTTACAACTTTTTGTTATAAATTTTAACGACATAGTAATTAATAAACATAACGCTTATAAAAGATCCCAATTGGAAATACTATGATGGTATAACGTTTTTATGTCATACTTTTTAATCTGGTTTATCAGTGCCCAGAACGGCGATATCATGAACAACGATACTGGCCATAATCACTGGAAAACTAGGATTTAAGAATACGTCATATCAATGAACTTAGTATTTGAGTTGATTTTTAGTATGTTGACTCAGATCTTTGTGCTTTTGTCTTGGCACTGCTTTTGATGTTAATATTGCTGAACAACTTGAGAACGATCAAACAGTGGAAGTGGTGTATTTGTTAAACATTTACGAGAATGCCCGTTGTAGTTTGTTTACCAGATATTTTAATGATAAAACGTCGCATTTGCCAATGAACAATTTACGAACCGGCTACGTAATATTTATTTGCCTTACTTCGGCGAATTTCCCTAATGAAGTACAGTAGTATATTATCTCATATTGCTGTAATAGTATAGCATCGAAAATTCACAAAACAAAAGTCTAGTTTCGATAACTTTAGATGGCTCCAATTTCAACCATTGAATATAAGGTGCAATAAACAACGAACCTTTCTTCTGACATCTTTCATGATAGACAGTAACAAAGAAGTGTAAAAACTGGCTTCGGCGATGTAATAGATATATGTTGCTTTATCAAGGTTCTGATGCGGAAACCCGATCCAACATTGTGCGTGGTCCCATAACCATGGAGCCTGAAAGCAATTTTATAGAATAATTATGTGAATGTATCATATCACTTATACTGCAGTTAATTTACAGTAAAGTCATAAATCATAATAGAATAAATCGATACAATCACATCAAAATAACTAGTGATATTGATGCACTAACTGTTGATACAAACCCGAAAACAATATATCATTACCTTCCAGAGAAATCCAAAACCATATGTAAAAACTCCGGAGTAAAAAACAAATCGCCAGCTGCAAAAAAAAATTACAAATATTAAAATTGTCTTCTAAACATTACAGTGATTACATTACACCATTCAGTCATTGTTTGTATATATGTCTGCTCAACGAATATGACATTGCAAAGAACAATTCTATGGCCTTTCTAGGAATATATTAATAGGAAACAATGCCCTTTCTTAGAAGTTTTGAAAAAAAGTGAGCGGAGTCAAACGCATGTAGACAAAATGAAAAATACTATCACTTAAAGATATCATTGGGATTTCAAGTACCTTCGGGTATTGATAAAAACATTATAACATGCAGTCAAGGATGCAGTATTATTCATCAATGCACGCATTGTTTTCTTATATACATACCAGGATTCGCATCTGCTGTTTGATTATACTATGACGTTTATGTCCCAAGACTTCCCTTCTGGTATCCGAATCGGATAATGACAAATAATCCCGGACATGGCCACGTGACATACGTTATCACGTAGACCGGGCATGCGCCTGAGATACAGTTTAATATCTCAATATTGTTAACAATTCATCGAATTACCTTGTTTCTAAAAATTTGGTTTGGGTATCAGGTCTTCCCCAATTTCTTTTCCGTCTGAACCAACTTCGAACTGACGAACGTGGTATATCGAATCGTTTCGAAATACTGTCAACTTGTTCCTAAAAGCATGATAAAACAAGTTATATCAACATGATTTTATGGTTGGCAAATTGTAATATAACTCTCCATTACTTTGAAAAAAAAAAATTAAGCTAAAATTACAATTCTTCAAATTATTTTAGGTACAACAGATTGGAAGCTTGTTTTTATTCCATCTCAAACACGCAATATTCCATATTCAATTTGGGTAACCGAGAAGAAACTGCTATAATTATATTACTTGATTGTGTCTGTAACAGAATGAAAATGAAAGAAGTATAATTTAATTTGATTATAATGACTGAATAAAATGATAAATTTCAAGTGGTTTAGTATCCATACCTCGGTCGGATGTCTTGATATTTCTTTATAAAATTTTTCTAGCTTTACATTTGGCTTCGGTGGCTTTCGTTCTTTGCCGTCAGATACTTGATGGTACTTGGCAATCGGTAGAGCGATAAATCTTTTAATTAAAATATGAAGTGGGAATTGTCATAAATATTGTGTTTATAAGGAGGCCCGTACCCCAGGAGTTTAACTATTGTTTGGAAAACGAGCGTCAGCTATTATATTTATACTTATAGTGGAGGGTGTAATTCAAATTACGCGGCAGTATCGTAGCCGTTTATTTGAATTGTAAAAATTTATGCTGCTTTCGAGGAGTGTTCTATTGATTTCCATGTTGATATATATAAACGCTTGTTAAATAACCAGTGGTTAAAATCTCTCTAGGGCTTACGATGCTAACTAAAACTTGGAAGATCCTTCCTTCATCAGGCTCAATAAACATTGCTGTTTGATTAAACCAAATTCAATTGTATGTCATATATGTTCTTTTATATTGCAAACTAAATTGCATTGCTATAGTAGATAATCTGACGCAATATATTGTTTTATCTATATATTCTATTACATTCCCATCGAGTAAATGAATTAATCAAACATGGCTCACGTAAAAGGTATCGTCCGTAAAAAATATCATGTAAATATTAAACATACCGTTCAAACAGTATTCTGAAACCAAATATCGCCAATCCAATGACAGGAACGTACAACATGTCACGTGGCTTAGCATAAGTAATATCCGGCGAGTCCTCAAAATCTCGAAAAGAGACTCCATCAGGGAACCAAAATGAATCGTTCCAAAACCATTCAGAAAAGCTACTCATTCTTTGTAATACGTCTACCAAAGTAGGCTGTAAAAATAACAACATAAATATATTTGATTTGTTCACGGCAAACTTTCTGCTATTTGGTCCCGCTCAAACTCTACATATCATATGGAAAAGTATCTTCCAACACTTCAAAAATGATTATCCATGCTTACATCGATAATTCGTGCAATGATTGATCGGTCCTGAGTCAGGCAGCATGCAGAAATTATGAGGAAATCACTCGCCCAATGGCAAAATCCTTGAATGATTATACACTATCACGATATCCTCTGAAGTAGAACGTACAAGCGTCAAGAAATGCATGTATAAAAAACAATATATTATGTAACAATGCAGCTTTCGAATAGAATGCTCAGACACACAGGTAGGTAACTGTAGAACATACACTCCCTTTCCATTATTTATTTTATCCTATTCGTTCTCTCATAGGCGCACTCTGCCAGGTTCTAGCTATTTCTAGCCTCAAATATTACATTTCTTCAAGCTAATACAGAACTACCTCTCCTGACCTGGTGATCAAATTTTAAATGGGTAAACTAGTAAAAACAAACGATATTTGTGCCACATAGACACTATTCCCGGAAATGAAATATCGTCAATACAACAGCACGGATTATTGTTTAGTACGCCAAAATGCGTGCGAGCAAAACGCGTCGCGGTTAGAAATAATTTCTATCGCAACTCTTAACAACCATTCATATGCATTACAACCTGCTGCTGATTGATCAGCATGTCTTCACAAATAACTGTCGCTCGTGGATACCTACTGCAACTCGACACAAATCAACTTGAAATATAATGCTGCCATGACAGCCAAATGAACATGATGGGAATATTACATAACGCGAAGTAAGCGACTGCTTAGTACCCCAAGGTATATATACCAAAGACTGAAGCCACTGATATAGATGCCAAGCTCAAAGTCTATTATTTAGTGACTTTCTTTCGCTGATTGAAAACAAATAACCGCGACGTTCATGCATGCCACCTATTAGGTTGCCAGTACCATTCCCAACTTAATGAAATGGAAACAGCTCCCCAGCTGTATACTCATTATCTAATGATTGGAAGCCAAGAAACTGCAAATTACGAACATAACTTTTCACTCGCAGTCCAGCTTGATGACATTCAACGGCAGTCGACTAAAACCCCTCGGGCAAAATTTAATCAAAAATATGAGTTCGAACTGAAATAATCTATAGTGTATAAGACAATAATAATGCAGAATATGCGTGTGGGTTGCAAGATTCAAGATATTATACTTTCTAAGTCTTTCCTGCTCGCGGTCTCAGGTTACGAATTGATCCCACTACAACAGGAAGTTAGCGGGCGTTTCACCGTATGAATTAATCCTTGTCGATATCGCGCCGGCGTTACAATAAGTAAATAACTTATATAAGCATTGGCCGTTGATGCGGTTGGTATGGCATGCGAGAGCCATTCATGACTTTCTACTCAATACTGTCTTATTTATAACCGTTTTAGTGGTATAAGTTATCGCTTTGTAAACGGCCGTAAAGTCGGATAAAATGCTTGTCGACGCAGTCTATTCAAACAACATTTTGGGATAATACCCGACGTATTTGTTACGAACAAAAGGTACGAAATGAAGCCGAGCCAACAATAACTATAAATGGCAGTGGCAAAGTTAGCCTTTCAATATGCAGAGCTGCTGGGTGCGAAAAAAGAGTATTCGGACTATTTCATCTACTGCATACTGATCAAAAATGGGCATTTCAGAACACTTTTTTATTGTAAATGAAAGATAAATAGGCTAACCATTGAGGATGGGGTTCAAAAAATCATTGCAAGTCAAAAAGCCATCTCTCCTAGAATGTTATTACGACCACAACAGCCTTCGTCTGAAATTTCAAGAACTAAGGGTTTAACTTTAACCTGTTATACTACGAATTTGTTATCTGTTTTGTTCAATCAGACTTTCTGACTCAATATCTCTTCGACACCTATTCGAGGGTCAAACTTTGGGTACTTCTGTGTACCAGGTTAGGGTTAGGCCATCATTTTATTCCCATTTTCCCTATTTTAGTTCTATTACGAGTTCGGTACTGTCTGTGTTAGCCAAGTAATTATACAACTTGATGTAAAGTAGGCAAACAAAATTAGGTACCGTCATATTGGTACACATACTTCTGGAGCGACGAATTTTATTGTCCAATATCATCTATAATCTATACTCAAATTCAGGCCCTAACGTACAAATAAGCACAAATCTTCCATTCTAGTAGGGATTTTGGAGAAACAGGCATGTAGCTTTTCCTCGGTTCGCAGTTTTATACCTGTTTGATCGTTTAATTGCAATTTTTTTAGTTGTGTTATCCATGACCAAAGTTATGTCACCCAAAATTTTTGATTCAGAATTCAGTAATTATGAAAATCTAGAAGTGTACGATTTAAATTGTACCAGTAGGTTCAAGCCAAAATATTGTCTTATCCCTTTCCACTTGAATATTAGTTCTCTACAAAAAATCATGACTGCTGGTCGAACTTATTACACCTACGAAACTCATTGCAATATTCGAAACAAAGCTTGGAGAACTCCCACTTCAACCCTATCATTATACAATTACGAATTTATCCACAAACTCTACAAAACAATAACTGGTGGCGTTGGACTATATGTTAGTCAAGAATCAAGATCAAGACCTCACTTTCTCTGAGACTCATGAATATGATCTAGACTAGGGCATTCTGACTGTGAAGAATTGTGGATCAACTTGAAACTAAATTCGAACATCTCGTTCATAATTGGAGTAATCTATAAACACCCGGGAGAAGATATTATTATATTTACCGGAATTATTCTCAATGTTTTGGAGAAGTTGGATACGGACAAATTTTTTATTTTATTTAATTAGAAGACTGGAACATTGACTTATTAGGTCAATCAACAGATTTGGCCATTATGAAGTTCATATATTATATTCGCACCTTGCCAATTTATTATTACCCATCATCACAAAACCAACATGAGTAACTCGTATTTCCAGTAGGCCTACACTGACTGGCAATATATTTACCAACGCCATAAACTATTATTTGTCAAGCCTTTGTTTTCTTAAGAGATATTAGCGATCACTATTAGCGAACTTTGCACAGTGTCTGCTGCTGCTGTTGTTACAAGAAGTCAAAATCGAGTATTTAGGCGTAATATGAGGCATTTCCCCATTGATATAGATCTGGTCTAGAAACTTCTTTCCTCCCTATGAGGAACTTCCAAATTTCGCCTGAAAATTCAAACAACATTTTTTTTGATTCATTTGTAGAAATACCGTAATTAGATCAACCATTGATGTCAATGCGCCAATGAGTCGGCGTGAGACTAGACTTCTAGCGAAACCTTGGTTGACCAATTAATTTTGCACTTCAGTTATTAGCAAACGCAGAACGCATAAAAGTCACTTTAAAATCTAACAATATGCAACGAAGATTATATAAAATTTATATCTACTTGCTTTCGGCTCTGATAGCCAAAGCAAGGAAATTGTATTACTTTGATAAATTCAAACTAGTCAGTGGTGACATTAAATACAGACAGAATCTAATTCGGCGACTTAGCAACATAAAAAAGGGAAAACACTAATAATTGCAATCGAAGCACTAAAAACAGATAATGGGTACTAAGTAGCAGCGATCCAAGTGTAATTGCCAAGTATTTTAGGGATTATTTTATCTCTTTAGACCAGTGTTTCCCAACCTTTTTCGGTCGCGGACTATTTTCACACCAGGGAAAATCTTTGCGGAATCAACGTGCGGTAACTGTAAAACCGAACTCTGTGTGAAATAGCAATAAAATCAAAAACAACAGAATTTTAACGAAGTACGTTTATAATCCATATTTACAAAATTCAATCGAAACCATAGCGAGGGTGCTCAATTATTGAGACATTGAGAACTGCTCGCTCTGACAAACTTGAAAGATATTATGAGATCACTGGCGACGATTCGCTGAGGAAAATTATACCAAGGAATTTGCAACTGAAATTTCCAAATAAATTCATTCTGATTTTTGTCCTTATCGATCGCCTTCGTAAAATTAAAAAATTAACAATATCTTTATGGTTGGTTCCTGAATTCGCTGCCATTTTCTGTCTGTATCCAGTCTATGTTTTTTTTTGCCTCGAAACAAATCCTCCGAAATGTTGTTACTGCGTATCCATTGAAATCTGATAGAACTCACCTAATGGTAGTTCATATTCAAATTAATATATCCGCTCGGAAAATTTTGAAATGTTACATCTTTGTTATTTGTATTGGTGAATCGAATTTTACTAAATGGCCCACTGAAAAGATGTGAAATTCATGCGATATTGGCGCACAATAAAATCATTTAAAAATGTAGCAATGGTGTTACAAGAAACAAATATATAAAAAACACAAATATAACACTCAATCTTAACGGAAGCGAAAAGTACGTGTAAACTCGTGTTTTTGTCAGAAATCTGCGAGTCCTATTGCACTATAGCAACTTTGTCTGGTGATAAAACAGTTGGTTATGATAATATTAAAACCAAAATTTTAAAAATATGCTTTTTTCGTCAATGTTCGGTAAATTATTTATTGCCATGGAATTGTGCCAAAGTTTTACCTGTTTATATGACTGGAGAGTGCATCGATCAGTTCTTTCTACATTGACTATAATATTCGAAGCACTTTTGCATGCTTGATTAGCACAATAGACCTTATTCATTAAAAACCCATCCTACGCGCAAAAAATAAAAGTGATGTTAAAATTTTTTTTTAACATTAGCTCTTATGGGAAATGTGATCACCAGAGCCGAAATTTGCATTTTTTGTAATTTTCTAGATATCTTTCATTGTATACGTGAGCAGTTTTGAGGATAGAATATTTTTTACATCTTTTTTGATATTTTTATCATGATAAACATGGTCAAGATTTTTGATAATCGTTCATTAAAATTTTAATGAGCGCGGTGTTTCCGATGACGTCATTCTCACTAGACCATGAGATTCTGCCAACGCGCCGTGCTCTGTGGGATATGCGCTGCAAATGCGGCGCTAATGTCGCTTTGGGTCCGTGTCCGTCCGGTACTGGAAGCGTTTAACATTGACAATCTATAATCCGTACCATTTCTATCACGTTTGTTTACTGGTTTTACGCATTTATATCTGTACATCTAGCAATCATTTACTGAAGGCATGCTGACGTTTTATTTAAACTACCGGTACCGTACCAAGGCTACAAGAGATGAAAACTAAATTATTTAGTAAAGACTGAAATAGGCCTA